CGAGGCCGTGCCGGGGCCGTGGGAGGCAGGCTGCGGGAGAGGAGCCCACGGGCTCCAGGAGAGGTCGTCCCGGCACACCCCGTGCAGAGCTGGACCTGAGCTGAGACTGGGCCGCGGGCGGGCAGTACATCTGCCCCACACTTCTCCTCCCAGACCCCCCACCCGGGAATTTACCATCACCGTCTGCCGGGAGCTTAAGTCACATTTGAGTCACAGATTGATTGACCAGAAGGGATAAAGGGAGAAGGGAGGGGAGAGCCCCACAAGTGTCCTCGGACCCTGTCCTCGGGTCACACTGTTCCCGAAGCTTCCTTTCAGTCTGCAGCCAGAAGTGGGGTGAGGGGACGGACAGGCATGATGGCCAGAGCCTCCAACAGTGAGAAACGGCGCGCCCAACCGTGCGGAATGGGACGCAGTGCGAAGGCCTGGAGTCAGCCGCTGGCGACAGAGCATGTTCTGTGTGGCAATCGGGGCTCCCGATTCCTAGGGAGCGAGGTGACGGAAGAACCAGGGAACGCAGCTAGATCCGCCAGGGGATTCGAGGCCTCTGGTCCCCGGGAACCAAACCCGCGCCCTCCTAGGGGATCCTATCAGCAATGGGAGACCCAAGACTGTAGTGGGAGATGAGGGGAGGGGAGTCTAATAAAGATCGTTCTGTTACCCTCAAACCTCTTCCAAGACCCTGAACCTCTGCCCTAGGAGACACACGCCTCCCCTTCCTGCGGCAGCCAGGAAACGAGTCCCTGGGAGGGAGCATGTAGCTTTCACATTTTCTTTATCGAGGCCTTATTTCTGACACAAATACCAGGAGGGGCAGGCAGGGCCCGCAGACACCGTAATTACGAGCTCGAATAGAGAGAGACACAATGCCCCGTCTACACGTGTGTCTTTCTGCCTGACAGGACGGGCACCCCAGTCCAAGTGCTGCCTTGGGGACACACCGTGACCCGGCCGGTTTTGCACTGAGGGAGAGTGGTGCTAGGGAGGTAACAGTTTCCCGGGTCTCAGTAACTCTGGGGGCCCTGCCTTGCAGGGAGCCAGCGCTGCATTTTATGAAAGGACAGTTCCCCTCACTGGGGAGCTGGGCGTCAGCCAGGTAGGCCGCGTGGCACTGCCAGAAGGCAGTTTCAGGTTGAGGAGCTGTGGTCTGAGTCAGGTGGGACTTGAAACTCGCCCTGTGGTCTCGCACAAGTCCAGAGCTGCCTACTTCAGGAAGCCAAGAACTTGGCCCAGCCAAGGGCCTCGGACAGGCATCTGTCCAGGAAATCAGGACTCATAGGCTACACCTTCATCTTCTCTCCCTCTTACACACATGCACACACATGCACACACCCCATCTCTGGCCAGAAGAATACTCCTCAAATGCAATTTGATGCTCACAGGTTCGGGAGTTGCACAAGTGCTGGACTTAGGAGGGAGGACTGGTCCCTATAGAACCCCATTTCCCAAAGACGTCCTCATCACACATTGGCTTAGGCCCTTTGGGGGAAACTGCTTGACTGCTGGGCTTTCTGGGCCTGTCTGGGGAAAGCTGAGCACTGCCCAGGAAGTAGGGAAGGGTGAGGCTGGTGTGAGACCCACTCTCCCAGTAGGGAGACTGGTGTGAGATCAATGCCTGTCTAGGTGCTTTTAGCTGAGGCAGTTCCTCCTGATGTCAGCAGCCAGTCCTATTCCTGGAGAAGGGAGCCCCTGTTTCAGTCTTATCCTAACCTAACTACAGAGATTTCACCATGGCACATACCTTTTTGTACCCCTACTTGAGATTTAAAGTTATTACATCCCTTTTATTGCCACCTTGGGGTCAGCTAGCAACAGCCTCCTTCCTCTCCAGTCTCAGTCCAAGTAAGTGACTTGGAACTCATTGTAATGAAGTCAAAGGATAAATTTACCTGAGCTAATCATGCAACCTTCTCTATTTAAACAAAGAAAAAGTTCAGAGTAGAAAAGGCGTGAGTTTAGTTGTTTGGTTTCATAGGATTTAAGAGATATAGCTTGGAGCTATAGATTGGCAAATGCTAAATCTGGGTGCTTATTGGTAATAAGATAAGGGCATTTCTGAGCCCAGGTGCACTGTTTAACGAGCTGTAAGTACTTTCCTGGTTTAAATGTTTGTTTCATTGTTGTTTGGGCTAAGGAGGAAAAAAAGAAGAAAGATGAAAAAGCTAAACATAAATGTTTTTTTTTTCCAAATTGCAAGAGGAGATATTAACCAGTTATTTAAACATTCATTTAAGTGTAAAAGTCACTTAAAATTTTAGAAAATTCTTTTAAAATTGGCTACTCTTTCATGTAAGTGTAGATCCCTCAATACTAAACTGTCTTCACATGAACATTTCAGATTAAAGACAGGCCTTGAAATCCTCCCATTTGCTAAAGTACATTGATGTGATAATAAGGCCTAAGCAAACATTCAGTTTCTACTGGCACTTGTTTTATTCCTAAGCAAAAAAAAAAAAAAAAAAGGGGGGGGGTGAGAGGGAAAGGAAGATTTCTAGTGTGAGGTCATTTCATTTGCATTCACATGTCCTCAGCATTATCATAGAGGTTACTCAGTTGTATTGGAATCTAGACTATGATGTCAGAAAATACACTTTTCAGGAAGGCAAAAAGTCAGCATCCTGGGTATATATTGAGGACAGTTTCTGCTAAAAGTAATGAACAGGGCACCTTAGAAGAGGTACCTGCTTTCTAGCTTTCTAATAATTGCATTTGGTGGGAACAGAAAAAGACTCCTTACAGGTAGTTTTTCACTTCTTTAAGATTTAATTTTACTTTTTAAAGAACAAAAAAAAAATCATTTCTGGAAGAGACTGCTAAGAAGACCTTCCTCCTTTGGCCAGAGGAATAGACAAGACTATAAGTCAAGAAAAAGGTGAAGTAATAAATTATAAGGAAACTTTAGTATTCCAAGTATATAAAGACTATTTAATTTTCCTGTGTCTATATTTTCTTGTTTTGTGTGGGAGAGGAACTTCTAAATATATGATAGATGTTTTGCCATTAATACCAAAAAAGTGAATGGGAAGTGGGGAGGAGAGAGGAGGTCAATTTTGTTTAATTAGTAAAAAAAAAAAAGCAACACAAATCAAAGCAGTCTATTGATGTCTTTATAATGTTCTGAAAGTGTAATAAATTTACTTACAGCATAAGTGATTTGATATTTTCAGTCTTGGTTTTAAACTTTATTGGGGGATGGCTGACTTTTTAAAGCCTGGATAATTTGAAAATTGGCTAAATACCTTTTTTTTAATTGTGGAAGCAAATATTATCACTTTAATGTTAAAAAAACTTGCAAGTATTAAATGCCTCATTTGTGATGTACTTTTTTTTTTAAACAGATTTCCCTCTTCAAATCTAATGATTACATTAAGGCGCCGGTGTCTTTTTGGAAAGAATTTAATATAAATCAGAAAGTGCTGGAGGTTCAAAGGTTGACATTTTTGAGTGTTGTTAACTTTGTCTTTTCGTGCCATGCAAATAGGTCTAACATTTAGAATTTCTTAAACTTTCAAGGGAAATTGTGGAAATTCCCAGAGACTTTTTTGTTTTACTAGGAGGAAGCCAAGTTTTTTTAAATATGAAGTGTAAAGTAATCAAATGAGAGAGTAGCTTCTGAGAAGGAGTGACCCCCACCCCAACTAAGCAGCAAATGTTAACTGCCCGCCAGAAAGCTGCAGTTAAAAAGGTGGAAAAGGGGACCAGATAAGTGAAGGTAGGTGAGAGGGCGCTATTTCACCCACCCTCGGTAAATCTGTGGACCATCAGCCAGAAAGCCAGACTTGATTAAGGTCAGACTCTCTTAATGATCTGAAATCTCTAAATCACACTAACCTTCTAGAGAGTACTGAAATCTACCATCAGGATTGTCTGACTGAAAAAAAAACAAACATCCCTTGAACGGTTCCCAGCCAGCCGCGTTCATTTCAAAGAGATAGAGGAACTCTCTGGGAGGGCGTTCACATCCGCTGCAGTCCTTCCCAGATGATACTGCCCAGAAATTCGCAGCAGTCTTTCTTCCCCGCCCAAGAGCTTCGGGAAGAACACCCTGCTTTCCCTTCGCTTTTCCGAGACAGAGCAACAAACAGGGCTAGTTTCACTGCGTCTGCGCGCTTAAGTGACACGGACAGAGTCACCCTAGAATATGCAATAGGGGACTGGGAGGTGAGGGGGCGACAGTGTAGGTTTATCGGAGAAAGCGTGGGTTAGACGCCTGTTGGCGGGTTAAAAACCGTGTGCGCTCCCCAGGAGTGTTGCTTCCCCTCTGTCATTGAAAAGGGGGTCTCCGGCACGTGCGCGGGTTTTCTTGGACGGGCTCCAGGTGTCCTCAGCTGTTCTGAGACAGTAAGAAATGTAATCTCGACCTGAAGTCTGAAACCGTTTTTAACTCTTCTAAGCCAAGAATCTCCCCCTCCCTAGCGACTCTCCCCACTCAGTTAGTCCCAGGAAGGTCCAGAAAGTAAGGTTCCCGTCTCTCTCCCCGAGCTCCCAAGCGAGCTTAGGGCTCATGGAAGCCACGGGCCCACGGAAGCCACGGGCCCACGGCCTGCGACCTCCCCGCCGAGGATTCCGGGTGCCCGTGCTCTCCGGCCCCGGCCGCTTTGCCTCCTCCCTGCCGGTTCGCCCCCGGCGGCCGCGCGTCCAGCCGGCCCCGGCTGCAAGGACGCGCCGGGGTCAGTGGCTGCCCCCGCTGTCCACATGCCCTCGGGGACTTCAGATGGTAGATCCGCCGGGCAGTCGGGAGCCGGCGAGACTCAGCGGGGGTGAGCGAATCCGCCCACGCGCCCGACTCCGGGATGGCGCGGTAGGGCTGGCGCTCCGGGGTGGGGCTCTGCGGAGCTCGGGGCAGCACCGGGGGCGGTGGGGCGGAAGGCGGGGAGCTCCTTCGCTTGCAGGGCAGTTCCCAGCTCCGAGCTCCTCTCCGCTCCCTCCAACCCGCCGGGCCCGCTCCGGCCGCCCGTCGCCGCCCCCGCCCCCTGGGCGCCCGCGCCCTCGCTCGCCCCGCGCGCGTTCCTAGGGCGCCACCTCTTTGCGACTCGCTCACTTCTCCCGCAGGTTTGCCTGGGAGCGTGTGAACATTCCTCTGCTCGGCTTTCAACTCTCCTCTAACCTGCGTCGCTTGGCCAGCATGCCTCCCCGCCCGTGAAGCGGGGCCGCCGCCCCTCCGCGCCGCTATTAGCCCGCCCTCGTTGCCACCTGGCCCTCCTGATCGACGACACACGCACTTGAAACTTGTTCTCAGAGTGTGTGGAATCAACTTTCCGGAAGCAACCAGCCCACCAGAGGAGGTAGACAGACAGCTATGTGTATATATGTGGGTCTCCCTGCAAGTGGCTCTGGAACGAGACGGCCTAGTTCGCAAAGAAGCTGACTTCGGAGGAGGAAACTTTCTTCTCTTTTTAGGAGGGGATTAGCCCTGCTCCAGGAACCCAGGAAAACTGCCGTCCAGATTAATTAGACATTGCTATGGGAGACGTGTAAACACGTTCGCTGCTCATCGTTGATGCATACATAAAATTATTTCATTTTGGTTATTATTTCGGAGGAAGAACCTCTGATTTTGCCCCCCTTTTTGGTCTCTTTTTGCCCGTGTGGTTTGGCAAAAGCACAGTTGGAGTAGCTGGTTCCTAAATAAGTAAGTGCTGAGAGGATTCAGAGAAAGTTCTCTCTTTCTTTCTCTCTCTCTCTCTCTTTTTTTTCTTTGCAACTTGGGAGATGCCCTTAATGTTGAAGAGGCTATTTGAAATCAGGCTAAAAGGGGAAGCGAGTAGTTCGGGGAGATGGAGATTCCGGACTGACACTTCGGGTCGCTTTCCGCTCTGTCGCAGGTCCTGAGAGCAAGAGGAAACGATGCTGTGGAAGCTGGTACAGCAGTGGAGCGTCGCGGTGTTTCTGCTGAGCTACTCGGTGCCCTCCTGCGGGCGCTCGGTGGAGGAGCTGGGCCGCCGGCTGTAAGTGTCCCGTCCTCTCCGGGAGCGGGCTGGGGAGGAGAGTGGGAGAGGCCGCCAGGATGGGGCGCTGCCCAAGGCTCACCGCCGCCCCTGATGCTCCTGGCCGAGTTAGAGAGCCAGGAGATCCGGCTACCTGCGGTGGGGCTGAGCCTGGTTCTCAACCCCAGCGGGAGAACTGGTTGAACCTCCAGGAAGGACAGCCGAGAAAAATGTTATATGGGTTTCCATAAGAGGGAGCGTTTTTTTGTTTTGTTTTTTTTTTACAGAATCTCCTCTAGACAAAGATCCTCTGCCTCTAGTGAAAGAAAGGGGTTACTTTTAGGACCTGGGAAGGTTTTGAAACCCTGACGAATCCAAGAGATTTAGATAACTCAAGGAGGAAGGCGAGGGATGCAGGGAAGCACGCCTGCGTGCGCTTCTATACATGCTGAATGTGGGTGGCAATTGGTGTGTGCAAAGCAAAAACCTTACATCCAATTTTATTATGAATGACATAACTCTAAGCATATAAAACGGACCACATTACATAATGAAGGCATATTATATAAGAAAGTAGTGACAACTTTGCAATGGCACAATTCCAGCATTGGTACAGTTCAAAAACGCTAGGGTGCTTGATTCTAAAATCAGTATTAGGTGTGGAGACTTTTTTTTCTTCGAATTATGGCTAGCAGTTCTTTAATCTGGAGCCACATATTGGCACTGTAGACTGAAAACTTGTATTTTGGAATTCTCCTTTGGTGATTCTTTTAAGGATAATTTTGACTTTAAAATAGTCATAGGTCACAGCACACCAGCTAAACATCACTCTGTGGTAGAGTTGTGCTATCTTCATAATCTGTTGGACCTGGCAGTTCATGAACATGTGACAGTGCCTTTGGGCATCTTTGGGCTGCAGGCTCATTGTTCAGGATGAGAAAACCATAAAGTGTGAGAACTGAGAAGAGTTTGCCTCCGGAGAAGGAATTAAGGAAAACTTTCATTCTAATAATAAAAATAGCAATATCTAATATTTACAGTCATGGTGCTTCCTTGTAAATTCCCAAAGGTGTACAGAAAGGCAACGATTGTATGTGTCCTTGGTCTATTATTATTAGAGTAGAAAATCCTTAAATGAAACTACTTTAGACGTTTCTGAACCTTGGCACCAAAATGATAATCTATTATGAATTTCCCAAGGCAAATTGTGTAGAACACTGTACTGAAAATAAAGCTGCATTGTATTCTTCAAATCAACGTTTTGTTGATATACTTCTAAAAATTGTCTTCATACTTTTTGTTCATTTTGAGGCTTGTATTAAATTCTATTATTTAAAATCTGTACATTAATAAGATGAAGAGTGAGGGTATTTTTTTGAAGTGTGAATTTTTAAAAGCATGCTTAAATACTGTATGTATTTGGTCAAGAAGCACTGTCTTGGAAACCAGCCAATTTTTTTTCTTTAAAGTTGCTTAAGAAATACCTGTTTTCTCTTTTGAGAAACAGTAAATGGACCATGATTAAATCCACAGTTATGGTATTAAAACAGTGCTAATTGTCCTAAAGTCTATTTTTAACTCTTTCTTTGTTGCACCTTGCAAAAATACATATTAAAAAAAAACCATTTAGCAGCAAAGACTCTGTTATAGATTTGTTTGTGGGTGAAATATAATATTGTAATCAAACACTCACACTCAGCAGATGGTTATAAAACTACCACAAAACATGCTCATAGTTAATGGCTAATAGATTGAAATCATCAAAAGATGAAGATGTTTCATCAAATTATTATAGCCAGATGGAGTTTTAAAAATGTCATTTTTTTACATTGCTGCCAAGTAGCAGTAAAACAAAACATTAGTCTATGACTATGCTAAATCAACCTAGTTTCTTGAAAGGGATTTTAACATAAAATCAAACCATGTTATTCCCCAGTTACTTTTCCCACCAATGATTAAGGAAACTGCTTTAGGTGTTTTCCTGACTAGGAGCTAACTTTTCAAGGAGAGGAAACTACCACAGCAATAACATTGTCAAGCCATGAAAAAGGGCAATATGGGTTTATGAGACTTCTGTACCTGTGAATCCAAAAGACTTTAACTAATGAAGCTAGAGAATGGGTAAGTCAGAGGTTGGAAAGGGAGGACTGTGGGCTGCAGCAGGTAGCAGCAGCTTTTGTGTTTAAGTGAGAGGGGGGAACCCCAGCAGATTCAGAAACCTGAAACATCATTGGCTGATCTGCTGTGGAGCCAGACTGGGTCTATTCCACTTAATGAAAAGCATAACTTTCGACTGAGTCATTTGGGTTGGAAGGGACTTCTGGTGAGTCATTTTAACTCGAACACCCTAACCCCGACCCTTCCATGCACCACGGGACTGTTCTTCTCAAACCCAGGCTCCTTGAGGACCCTCAGCATCAGCACAACATGCTGCTTCTCCCGGTGCCGGGAGAGGTGTGTCGTCACCCTGTTTACTGTCTGTGTTCCTTGAGAGTTCCTTCAAAATTTAATTTTCCCTGAAAACTCTCTTGAGGGTGATTTTCCTTTAAGACAGAATGGTCATAGTTTGATTGAATCTAGAGTTATCTATGGTAAGCCCTCCCCCCACATTTCTGCAATTTTTTTTACAACAATCAGTGGAGACCATGAACATACCACTCTTGTGTTGCCGCGTTGGAGCCTGGGCGTGTAATGCGTTCCAGGGGACCACTGTGCTGTGTCCCGTTCACAGGCACGCAGGATGGCAGACTGCTACCGAGGCCATAGTTACGACTTAAGTATTTCAGCATGTTCTGAACTACAATTCTCCGTAATCTGAATGCATTATTCGTTACCTATGTGTATCTAGTTTGTACATACTCCTCCTTTATCCTTGTGTCAGTTTACATCTCATTTCGAAAATGAACAGAACACTCTAGGGACCTCCTTCCTCGTTAACAATAAGGATTCCATCGTATTTCTGATCTTCTAGTGCAGTTGCCCGATTAGAAATTCGTTCTTCACAATAGTTTAAATACAGAAGTCTTTGAATCAGTAAGTAAATTATGTAACAGCATTTCAGATTTAGCATTTAGGGTAGTCTGCATTTTCTAATATACTAACAACCCTAAAAGGCAGAAAGAAGTTTTGTACCTCACAAGAGATGTGCTATTTTAAACTGGACGAAGTCATGCCATATTGTGGGCTTTTCATAAGAGACAAGGACAGAAAGATCACTCCTTTTCCCATGAGAACCATCCTGGGAAAGTGCAGTGCTTGACTTGGGAAGACACTGTGACTCACAGTTGACAGGCTGGCCAAGATGCCAGGCATATATGCCAGTCAGAGGGGGCATGAGCAATGTGGCTTGATTAGAACAGACCAGCCATTAAAAGTTTTGGCTTCAGGGTAAGCTAGAATGGGTTGTATTATACATTTGGAGAGCAATACAGATGGAGTGGATATCTGCCAGGAATTGGGAAAGAAATAAAATTTCCAAATACTATAAGTGATCATTGCTTAAGAACTTTTTGTTGTGACATTTTGCTACAAGATATTTACTAACCTTCAATACTTTTGAAAGATGCAGTTATATCAGTCTTATTCTTTAAAAATGTTATTAGAGGAAATAAATATATTGTACCAAAGCCTCAAATTTGTAGATTATTAAAAGTTTCCAGAGTACTAACTATTGCCACAGAGTAAGTGAATTTTAATCTAGTCACATGTGGCACCTTCAGAAAGGAAGAGAGACTCCTTCATGCCTCATTTAAACCAGGCTCCTGTTAAATTCCTTTCCATTAAGTCATGTCTTTTTTGAACAGCTACATGGCTTAAAGTCAGTTCACACGCTAAATTATGAAAAGGAAGCTGACATTCCAGCTGAAAGGTCCAGAGAAATAATGAGTGTTTTCATGTTTTATCCTTCATGGACTCATAGTGTAACTAGACAATCTCTCATTACCTCAATGAAAACCCAAACTCTAATATCCTAGTCCTTTGTTATGGCAATGAAAATGGACTTCCTGGAGCCATAAACTTGGTCTTCAAGGAAAGGGGTAGATTGCTGTCCACTTGCCCGTTGTCGTGGCTCCCACCACAGGTTTCCCACTCTGTGCCCTTTCTTTCTTGTTTTCTCAACATACACTTCAGCTTCAGGAGGAGAAAGGGTTGAGGAAGGTGAAAAGCAATTTTGGTTCTGAATCAAAAAAACTAATTTGTGGAACCCCAGCTCTGCCTGGCTTTGTTGTGTGGACAAGGGTGGGCATTTATGCTCTCAGAACCTCACTTCCCAGTCTGGGAAGGTGAGGGTAGTGCTATTTGTTACCGTCATGTTTCTTTGAGGAGTTAAAGAAGTTGTATAGTGAAAGCGAAGGGACCCAGATACCACTGTGTCTTGGGAAAGTAAGGCCACACAGGACGGAACCCTGTGAAATACCTTCAGACACTTTTGAACATGAATCACTTTGGAGGTTTATTTCAATGGTAAAAATGACACAGATTGGAAGCTGGCATAATATGACTGATTAAAGTATGTTGTCCTTAAATACGTTTAACAATATATGCACAGACTAATAAAAAATTCATGCATGAACATTTAAGCAAGAGCCTGGGTGTCAACTAAAAAGCTTGATAGCAAATTAGTTTATTCTTTTTCACTATATTTTTATGAGATTATTGTTCAGATTGAAACATTACATATTTGTTCACAGAGATATTTTTAAGATAGAGAACAAGTAGAAAAAAATTAATTTCTTAACTAAGTACTAAGGCTAATACCCTCTAAAAGTCTAAATTAAAAAAATCACAGAAGAAATAAAATGATCTCACTTAATTTAAACACACAAAGAAACCCATTTTAAAGAGACCACCCACTACTTTACAGAAAATTATGCATGCTTTCTCTGACAGTTGGCCCTCGGTTGTAGGTTCTTAGTAGCCTGCAGTCTAGTATGTTCAAACTCAGTCTGTGAAGTTGTTTCCTAGACAGGCTTCACTGCTCACTTTATTCCTCAGTCTTTGTTTGCTTTTACTCTTACAGCTTGCTGTTCTTCGAGATTCAGTATTATTATTTTCTTAATGGGGGAGCAGTCTGTGTGTGTGTGCGCCTATGCACACCTGGGGCAAGTACTCAGGTAAAATCTGCCTCGTTGTTATTTTCCAGGCTAGGACTCCAGAATTAATTTCCCCAACACAACTCTGAAAAACTTGAAAAGCAATTCAGTGGTTTCTGTCCGTTTCTGAAAATAACTGAATCACATTTACATTGGGAAGGGAGCATAGAAATCGCTGAATCTGACCCCTTCCTTGTACATAGCTGGGACTCCAGAGGCCCAAGAATGTTTATGTCCTCGCCGAGGTCACAGACCTAGCCAGTGGCAGAGCAGGTACTCTGAGCTACAGCTGCTAACTGTTCTTTGGCCCTGGCCCCTTGCCTGCTCCCTGAGCTTGCTCCTCTTCCAGCCTGTGTCCTGGATGGGAGCAACCAGAAAACGAAAGGGCTTTCCTCATGTCTTCGTGGTTTCTACCAGCGACTACAGTTTCACATATTGCTTTCTTTCTCTCCTGATATTTTTCCCTTAAAGCAAAAGAGCCGTGTCTGAACATCAGCTCCTCCATGACAAGGGGAAGTCCATCCAAGACTTACGGCGACGTTTCTTCCTTCACAACCTGATCGCAGAAATCCACACAGCTGAAATCAGAACTACCTCGGAGGTCTCCCCCAACTCCAAGCCCGCTCCCAACACAAAGAACCACCCCGTGCGATTTGGATCTGACGATGAGGGCAGATACCTAACTCAGGAAACCAACAAGGTGGAGACATACAAAGAGCAGCCACTGAAGACACCTGGCAAGAAAAAGAAAGGCAAGCCTGGGAAACGCAAGGAGCAGGAAAAGAAGAAACGCCGGACTCGATCGGCCTGGTTGAACTCAGGCATGGCTGCGAGTGGGCCGGAAGGGGACCACCTGTCTGACATCTCCACGACATCGCTGGAATTCAACTTCCGGTAACTGGCTTCCAGGCCCAGAGCCTCTCCTTGGTGCTCTCAGCAGGGGTGTGTAGCTTCCCTTCTGCCTTAGCTTGAACAAACCTTTCTGCCCCACCCCCATCAGTCACTCCACAAGTTGAACACTTGCAAAAGCAAGGTGATTCAGAATATTGGCTGACTTCAGGCGTCCTTCTGCCCCCATGACACAACAGGGCTTTAATAACGTGTTTCTTTCCATCCTCATACCCCCACACCAGTCTCTGAATGCTCCACTAAATAATTTCAGGTCTTAGTCGACCTTCAGAAGCTAGTGATCATCTTCATCATTTGCTGGAGAAGTCTATTTATTTCCCCACTCCCACCCCTTAGCAAACTTTCCTGATCATTTTCCATTTCTTACTTTTTTTCACGAGGAAAAACATAGAAAACTTTGACATGACCTACAAACACTACAGAATATCTTATCATAAACAATTCTGAGCCATTCACATTTTTATTTAATTAACTTTATTTAATTGAATTTTAAATGTATTTATATTTAAATAAATTAAAAATTTAAACACATTTTACACGTATTTAATTAAATTTAACTTCAGTTTCTACCAACTTACAAGGAAAAAAAATCAAGATTTCTGAAAATCTTTTAAGTATTGGCTTCGAAAAGATATGTTTTTCTTATGCACCTATTTGCCCACTGGCAAACTAAAATAATTTTTCTGTGGTATTGCAATAAGAATAAAAAAACTTCATATCTATGTGGTTTATTTATCCATAGCTCACAGATGTAGATAGTAATGACATTCACAGACTGGAGCCAAATACCTTGGCTTCAAATCTTGGGTCTTAACCTTGAATAAGTTGCTTGATCTAAGACTTACTTTCCCCTTCTCTGAAATGAAGATCATAACTGTACCAAACCTCACTGGGTTGGGTGAAGATTAAATGATATAACGTGGGTTAAATGCCTGTCATATAGTAAACACTCAATAAAGTGCAACTTACTGTTTTGGTGCTTTTAGACATGGTTCTGATTTTTCGTTCTATCTATATTGGTGTGTGTTTCTGTGATGCACAAAAAGGGGGGCAGATATTAACCTCATTTTGTAAACTAGAAAACCAAGGTACTCCACAGTGAGAGGACTGAGCAGTCCTGGGAACTGGGATAGTTCCTTCTCGGAACTGGGTTTATTTCCCCATTTCCTGCTACTTAGGCTAGTACTGTTAGTGAGGTCTCCCGATCTGTGCATTTCCACTGATAGGATCTGTTTTGTTTCTCACTTTTTAGTATAGCACTTATGTGGCATTTGAAAAAATGAGGGGAGCAACACACGAATGTGCCATATGCAGCTAAGAACCTCAGTATTTGTGCCCCCTGTTGCTCCTCTATTTCTTTTCCTCTGACTAGAAATAGGATTACAGAGTGATGTTTCAAAGGAGAGGCTGAACCTATTTTACCATCACTTCTAAGTCGACAAAACCCATCATTAAATAGCATGTAAAATAACAGTTACACTGGGTAAGTAGTACAGCTTCAGTAATCAATGGGCAGTGGCATTAATGAAATCTTCAGCACAGTGGAGGACCTCTTCTGCCATGTCTAATGGATGCATAAGGGGTTAACAAGCCTTATAAGTGTTGGCTTAGTGCAGATACCCACTATATTTTAACTGTGCTTATTTCTAACTAATGCAAGGACTCTATTGCCAGAGCCTGTTTTTATCCATTGTCTTACTCTCTCTAAATATATGTGCGTGTATTTTTAAAACAGAAGTATTCGTACTTTTTATGGATTTTATTCACTTAAAATTTGCAATGCTCTTAAGTATCCAAAGAATTAATGAAAATCAGCACTCGTCAATTCTTATTCCAAAGCTATCCCTAAGCTAAAGTACATCTAGTAAAAATTAGGCAGTTGCCTAATCAAATCCAGACCTAGGACTGAAAGAAATAGAATGTTTTTGCTTCTCCTTGCTGTTCCCTGGTTGTGAGGAACATTCATGGAAAGCACTGTTTGTTTGGCAGCCAGATGTGGGCCCTCTCCCAACACAACCCAACTGAGGTGCAGGGAAGAGTGAGGAAATTTGGAAGTGTGTATCAGTATGGGGCCATGCAAATTCTGTGTTGCAAACAGAATCTTTTCGGAATAACTATTTTAAAGTTTTATACGCAACCAAACTTTGGTTACTGTCCTCTCTTTAGTCTCTGCGTGGTTTGTAGGATGATCTGAGAGTCTGACGAGATGGCAAGCATGAACGTGATTACATGTATGTTACAGAAACTGCTGAGCTAAAGCTGTCTGGCTCCTCCTCACAAACCATTCAGTGGGAAATAGATTAGCTTTAAACTTTGGAAATGTTGATGTTGCAAATAAGATGTCCAGATACAGTAGGACTGATTTCATTCAGCACATATATTTTCCCTTGGTAAATATTGAAGTAGAAATAACATAAAACATTTTCAGTATTCAAAAGAGCTAGGACTCTAAAGCATCACACACATAATAAACATACACATATATTTTTAGGTCACGTTATATGTTTTCCTTGGTTATTCCAATACATGCCTTTGTTAAAGGGAGATCAGAAGGAAGGATAACAAGCCATCTAGCTGGGCAGCAGAAAATATAATTAAATGATCTTTTCCTTGGTCCTTTGATTTGCTCCCTTTTTTCTTTCTTTCCTTATCAGAAAATAATTTTTCAAAATGCTTTTCATTCCCTCCTTGCTTGTGCTATTTTATACTTTTAAATCAATTGATTCTTTCTCTCTCATCTAAAATATGCTTTCCCAATTTCTAATACCAGGTCCATTCAGAAAACCAGCAAAGTGAGAGCCAAAACATCCTATCTTCATTTTGGCTTCAAAAAGCAAAATCCAATCACAGTTTCATGCTTTAGTGTTTAAGGACAATGAAGAAGATGACAGATGTCATGGAATCATTTACCAAACATACTCTATTAAATTATGCATCTTTCTGACCTTTATCCAAAGTCACACACTTTTGGTTACCCTTGCAACAGCCCATTCTCTTAGGAAGAGATTGGCCGAATGAGAACCTGGAAAAATAAGACACCAGTGGATTCCCTGCATCAGGCATCACAGGGGAATAAACTTCTAAGCAATGTGTATTTGACAAGGGACTGCACAACCTGGCCTTATTTCCAAATTCTCAAATGCATGCCTTCTCTTCCCAAACTTGCCAATTGGTGGCCCTGGAAGATCTCACAGGCCCTCCTTTTTTCTGACAGACTGTGCTTAGAAACACAAGCCTTTTTCTCTTTCTGCATGACCCTGACCGTTTGAGTGGACCAAAGACACTCTCAGAGGTTCTAGGGAGTCAGGTGGGCCCCAAGGTCACCTCCTGTAACAGACATTTACAGAAAGTCCCCCATATGTCTTTGTGTATGACTCCATGTTCCTTAATTAATACCCTTTATTTTATGTCTCTTTATTTGCAAGGAAAATTAACCTGTTTTTGCTTCTTCTTTCCCTTCTTTCTCTTTACAGGAGGCATTGAAATTTTTGCAAAGAACTTCAGAAGACATATTGCAGGATTCTGTAATAGTGAACATATGGAAAGTATTAGAAATATTTATTGTCTGTAAATATTGTAAATGCATTGGAATAAAACTGACTCCCTCATTGCTCTATGAAACTGCACATTGGTCATTGTGAATATTTTTTCCAAGGCTAATCCAGTTATTATTGTCACATTTACCATAATTTATTTTGTCAACTGATGTATTTATTTTGTAAATGTATCTTGGTGCTGCTGAATTTCTATATTTTTTGTAACATAATGCACTTTAGATATACATATCAAGTATGTTGATAAATGACACAATAAAGTGTCTCTATTTTGTGGTTGATTTTCATGAATGCCTAAATATAATTATCCTCTGCATGTAAAAATAGCAGTATTTTAAATTTGTAAAGAATGTCTAATAAAATATAATCTAAATTACATCATGACTCAGAGGTGAATTATATCCTTTAAGAGTTCTAACAGAAGGAACACATTGTAATTTTTGCACTGTATTTGATACGGCCTCAAGTTTAATATGTTTATATTGGTACACATTCCAACATTTTCACATTAGCTTTAAGTTTAAAATCACTTAAATTGTATTTCATCCAAAATTTAAGTTCAGTTCAATAGAATGGCTGAACTACCTAGACGTCACTTTATGAAGTACGTCCAATTTGAAGTGAAGACGGGAGAGGGCAGGAAAAAAAACACAGAGAAGTCAGGAGAAAAGATTAATGACACTTAATCCAGAGAGTCAGCCAGCGCTGGAAATAAAAACGGGGGTGGGAGAGAGAACCAGATCAGGAACTTTAAGGACAGGGGTGATTTTAACCAACATAAAGTTTAATTTGCGAGCGCTTGCTCTCATTTGCAACGATAACAAGCATAAAAGAGCTACTTGAGCAATCTACCTATTAATGCTTCCTACCGAGAAAGGAGAGAGGGTCACCTTTGGGAGACGTGAGCACCCAGAAAGCCTTCACAGGCGAAGGTGCTTTCCTGTGATGCCTCAGCTGCAGGGCCGACGTTTGCAGAGGGCGCAACACCCCATGCAGTGCCTTTTCAACTGTATCATCCCACTTCTTCCTACCTCTGCATTCAGGTGAAAACACAAACATCTTTCTGTGTGCAGGATTGGTTTTTTTTTAACTCTCTGCAGCTCAGGACACATCAGAGACCACAACACAACAAAACAAAAAGCCTCTGAAACCAGCAAGCATCCTGCTAGACATTTGTAAGACATTTGGGGAAGGCGTGAGAATTAAAACGCTGTAACCGCCCTCAAGGCCCTTTTATTCCAGTGGGTAGATTACACAGGCATATACATGGAACAGCTAAACACTGTACGCAAGAGACTTAATGAAATGAAAGAAAAATCTATGAATGTTTAAAAAATTACAGGGAGAGATGGAGTCTGAGCTGGGAGTGAGAAGGATAATGTCTGAGAAAGGAATATTCTAACATTGAACTTCCTCATATTTTTTCACTCAAGTCTTGTAGCCTTGAAAATAGGATCCATCACACCATTTTTTGGTAAGAATTTTGAACCCATGTTAGTAAGGAATTTGTGTTTAGCCTCACTCCTGAATTTGTTAGAGGTGCTTTTTACACCTAAGGGATACAATCAAACCTCAGTTCTTGAATGTCCTGGTTCTCGAACACTTCAATTCTTGACAAGCTGTTCACAGAAAAAAAAGTGTCTCAGTTGTCTGACAAAACTTCGGGTCTCAATTCTCTCCCTGACAACACTTTCACACTGAGACCCGTGTGATCGGGCGACAAAGGAGATTTGGTTTTCGAACCAAAACTTGAACAGTTTTGGGGAACGAATTAAGTTCAAGAACTGAGATTCCATGATTTCAAAAGTTAAGGCCAATACACCAAACCCACATAAAGCAACTGGTCTGGAGTGCCTTAAAAACAGATGTAACCATATTTTGCAAAACTCCATCTGAAACTCTAAATCTTAAGATTACACGAAATCCTTATAAGTTGTTCACATGAAAATATGTTTTTTAAACATATGTTTTAAAAAATATGTTTTTTAGCCCTGGCTGGTGTAGCTCAGTGGATTGTGCTCAAGCCTGTGAACAAAAAGATCACAGTTCGATTCCCAGTCAGGGCACATGCCTGGGTTGCAGGCCAGTTCCCAGCAGGGGACACATGAGAGGCAACCATACACTGATGTTTCTCTCCCTCTCTCCTTCCCTTCCCCTCTAAAGATAAATAAATAAAATCTTTAAAAATATATGTTTTTTAAACCACTAGCTTAGTAAATACTTGAACATTAAAGCAAGAAAGCATCAAATTCAGGTCATTTTCTAAGGTTTTCTTCACAAAGATGTTTTCAGGAAAACATTCCTGAAAAGAAAAAGGGGAGATCGAACATGGGGATTTAGTTATCAGTTCTCACCAGCGCATTATTCAAGTAATAATTGCCTTTAATCACACCCAAGAGGTCTCTAGCAATAATAAGAAGTAAACTCTTAAGATAAGGCATAGAAAGAAAAGATAAAGGAAGCAGAAAGACTTTGTCCTTTTTATGACATTGTCACATTCTGATAGAAAAACAGAGATAAGTGATTTAAGATAATAAGTGTTTAAATGTAAATAAACTCCTAACAAACTACAGTCTAAGTGAATGTAGTTCATCCTTCCTTTAAGGAATGTTTATGAAGCACAAAAGCATGTTGGACTAAGTACTCTGGAATTAAGAAAATAAAATCAAATCTTCTGACTTACTACTATTACCTTCCTCAAATTTTATTCAGACAGAAGTATTCAGTATTTCTCTAGACACCTAATATATATTTATGAACAATGTGCTGTCCAAGTCCAAAGACAAGTAGTGATGGGGAAATGTGAAAGCCCCATTCCTCTCTTCTGTATTTTCTTAGCCTGTGTCATAAAACAGGTGCAATTTAAAACATTATAATGCAGCTAATGTACCCAGGGCTACATGAAGATATGAACCAAGATCAGTGTTGATGTTACTGGTCCTAAAAATATTTAAAGTCAATACTGGCATCTTCCTTCCTTGTTACAAAAATTATTTGGAATGCAGGCAAGCATCCGAGGAATATGAAGAAACTGAAGCTTTGCTTGGCAGGAAGTGAAACCCTATACCTTGATGATAAGAAACTCAGTTATAATTTTCTACTACCTGTTCTAAATACCAGTTGAGCAAAGCAGCTCTTAAACTGTTGATATCTGCCATACAAGGACAAAGAGAATCAGTCTTTATAGAAATCAAAAGTCTCTTTCTAATATGCTACATAAGGAACCCAACGAGAACAAAGTCGAGTGTTACTTCAATCTTTTTATAGTCAATTCATTCAATACTGGAAGGTAGTTAAATAGATGTCTGTAAGTGCTTAAACAATACAGTCAAAGAGACATTATCACAGGTGTGAACTTCAGGATAATCTAAAGTTTAATTCTAGAGTACCATACAGTTTAACTGCTCTCTTTCCCTTCAGCCACAAAGTCCATGTTAAAAATAGAGTCAGCCGTGGACAGAAACAATATGTTGGGGTTCAGATGATTCATCTTCTGTAAACAGGGTGTACTCTATTCTTTTACAGGGTATACTTTTATTGAGAGTTCTAAGTGTTCCCAGAAGAGCCCTCATCCCTTCCTTAAATAAATGGTCAAAGACATTCCAAGCACTTCCCTCTAATAACCCAGAAGGTGTTAAGAACACAACTTTTATCACAGATTCTATTACACAGTTGGCAAAACTCTGCCCTATGATAAGTTATTCCTAAGAACTCTCCTGAACATTTCAGAAGAGGTATTAAACACTGGTAGCTACTAAGATTCCAAAGGCAAAAGGTATTACTTCACTGAATTACATTATCATGTGTCCGGGGGTTAACTCCTTAAGAGAAGTAGTATTTCTTCCAAGTTGCCAATATTACTTCCCTAATTATTCTGTGAACTTCTTAAGGGCAGGAACCTTGACTTATTTAATATGTACCATCCAGCACTAGATTACAGCATTAGCAGGTGCTCAATAAATTACATAGCAGGTGCTCAGTAAATACTTGTTGGGAAGAATTTAAAGGTTCTTTCAGTTTCTGATGAATCAACTGAAAAGAAGAGTTAATCAAAGAGCTTGTCAGAGGTGTTAAGAATTTCAGGCTTGAATGCCAGGCCATTCTCTCGTTCCAGTAACAAGAAGTTTGGAGAATAACAACTTCAAGTTATCTAAACTGTCCACCAGAGCGCCCTTTGTTTTCCAGACTCTGGTTTAATGGGAACTTGTCCAGCTCTGTAAGTACAAGAAGCAGGGGTTTGTGTTGGGTATACAGCAACCTCCCAGAGGAAGGGAGGAGAATTTAAAATATCAGGTTTTCTTCCTATGAATACACTGCACAGAAGTCACGCACAGGGCTCGGTTGTGCGAAAGCGGCACACTGCTATTTTGTTAGAAGATTAATAGACACAGTTCCCAGGCAGAGCTACCCAACATCAGGAGGAGAGCTTTCACATCTCTGTGCAAGTGGCTGATATGCTCACATTTACAAGTGCAAAGCGCCAGGGATATGTTTTCAAATTGCCTTTTAATTAAATTTCAAAACATCTTCCAGGGAATTTCCTTACATTTTCCTCCAAACTGGAAGACATTTATAAATTGGAACAAATACAAAATATGTCACCCCTGAAAAATGGATTTGTTTTAGTGGTGACTCCTACTCCTTGCCAAAGCTGCATTGCTTTGGGGTCTGAAAAGCAAAATAGTTCATCCATCTTCCATTTGAACAAGGTAACTGATGGTCCAAGCTTACTGGGTTGTCATCGAAAAACTGCAGGGAACTGACTCTGGTGAGTTCCATGTTCTATCAAATAAAGGCAAAACAATAACAAACCATGCATGTTTCATTTACTAATTCTACATGCACATCACTCTTTCATTTGTCATGAGTTTTAGTAGAACCCTTGAGTCACGGTAGAGTATGAAACAATATATTGAGCAGTTGTGTCATGGCTAGCTGTAGGCAAAAGGAACTAGAAAGCAGGCATATCTTCTCAAGGAGAATTCGTTTCTCTTCCGATGACACGGTGAGAGATTCTTCATTGCCCTCTTCCTCAAGAATTGAAAATATTATTCCAAAACAACATTTTATAACATTATAACAATTAACATGTCAGAAAGAATAAGTTAGCATAGCCTCAAGCTAACATATAATAGAATGAATAGTGTTTTTTCCAGGCTTATACACATGTTGCACTAACCTAACTTACACTCTAACTCCTTTCATCCTGGCGGAACCCCAAGTGGTAGATATTCTTTGTCTTCATCTCACAGATGATGCAGTTCAGCCTCAGGCAGATCCACGTACCCGAGATCACACAGCCGGTCACACGGCAGAGCG